GGGGTGGGGGGCGGGGTGGAAAGGTGAATGAGGCTTAGGGAGTCCCGGCGCGGAGAGCTGCGCTATAGACTTACCCCAAGAGGCCTGAGGATAGTAGTGCCTAAAATAGAGGTATTTTAAAGCATTTTTTCACTCTGTTATATGGCATTCCAAACTCAGATTATAACCCTCTCCATCCTTTGATCCTTTTGTCATTCTTCTGTCTGTTTCACTGTCGTGTTTTCTTATACAAATATTTATGGAGGGCCTAATATATGTCAAGTACCTGGCTGGCTACTCAGATGAGTGAAAATTACAGAAAAGTAATTTCACCAATGTAATAAGTGTTAGCCTAAGTTCCCAGACGCATTCCTGAAGCTCTTCAAAGTGGTGGCCACTGCCTGGCATGTCTTCCTGGGAAAGGTCTGCTTCTGCCACACGCAGAGTACAGAAACCATTTTGTCTCACCCACCTCCCACACAGTGGCATTCAGTGAATGCTTCCTTATTAAATAGATTATCCCTAAGATAATGCATATTTTAGTATGAAGACTTTCTCCAAATAGAAGCTTGAAGTACTTTTAGCACTAGCCCTACTTATACTGAGGAATGGAAAGAAATAAACGTAAAGAATAAGGCTTAAATCACCCATTTCCCTCTGTCCATGTAATAATTAACGCATTTCTTTCTTGCCTTTTCCTCTTGATGGTCTCATTCATATTGACACACATTTTGGCATTGTACTTAGTCAGCTCTATGACTATCAGCTTGCTAAATAGTCTTTAGTATTAGCTTAATGATGACCTAACATTTTATCATAAGGATTTATAATTTAAATAAAACATGATTATTGGACAATTAGTTATTTATAGTGGTTTGCCATTATAAATGATTGAACAGCCAGCCACAGGCAGTATCCTGGGTGCATAAATCTTTGTCCTTGTTACTGATTAGTTCGCTACAAATCATACTTTGGTAAATAAACACAAATAGAAAAGTTCTTAGGGGTTTATCATCCTGTACATTTCCAAGAATAAATTTTTCCCATCTGAAGTACTAAAAACTATTGAGTAATCATTACCGTTTAAAATATACTAAACAATTTCACAGGAACTTGGTGCTTTTTATTTATTACTTTATTTTATGTATCTGAATGTATTGCCTGCATGTGTGTTAAATGCACCATGTTGTGCAGTGCCTCTGAAGGTTGGAAGATGTCCTCGGATCCTCTGGAACTGGAGATATGGACAGTTGTTAGCCACCATGTGGGTGATAGGAATCGAACCCAGATCCTCTATAAGAACAGTCAGAGCTCCTAATCACTAAGCCATCTCTTGAGACCTAGAACTTCAGTGCTTAGAAAGGAAAATTACTTGAGTTTTAACGAATAGTTATTTCCCATCAGACCTTACACAGAAGCAGCTATTAACAAATGTCCTTTGAAGAGATGATTAAATGCAATGTGTGGAATACAGAAATACTTCTATGGATGTCATAGAAGATGGTAAGAGGTAAATTCTTTTTTAGCACATTACCTAAATTTCTAGTCCTTTTGAAAAGCCTTTGAAAATTCCCACCCCAACGTTCCCTAAAACGAACTTTCAAAATAAATTATTTTCCAGCAACTTCCAACTAGCCATTGGTGCCCCCAAATTTAGTAGGCTTAAAGATCCAGCTGTCACATTCGGGCTTGGGCAGTGGACAGGCAGAGCCAGGAGCTTCTGACACAGATGCTGTTGGAAGACTTTGAAGGCTGCTTCCTCTTGCCTGGTGCCTAACTGGGTTTCCTGGGACAGCTGAGAGAGTTAAGTGTCTCTTTCTCTTCAGACCTCTCTCCAAATAGCAAGCTTGGACTTCTTTACAAAATGCTAGGCCCATAATAATAATATTTCAAAACTGCTAGCCAGCTTTTCCCCTAACAAGCATTTCAGGAAACTTGGGGGAAAGTACAAATCTAAAGGCATGCATAGTCAGTGCTACCTTTACTGATAGAGTCCAACAGTCACAGTCCAGCCCAGGGTCAAGGAGGGGAAAGAGAAGGCGCCACTGTACAATGAGAGAATGAGGTGCATGCAGAGAAAGGAAAGGGAGTGATGTCCGTCAACATATACGCACAGATTTCATAAAGGCCTTCATGTGCTGTTCAGAGAGAGCCTGTGTCGACTGCACACCTCTCTTGCACGTTTCCTTAACATGCACATTTTCTTTCCTCCCTTCATTGGAGACTATTGTTCAGGTTAATAGATAAATGGGAGGGGATACCTAATCTCCCTGCTACTTTCTAGAAGTTGAATTGTGCAATCATATCTATACTCAAAACTTAACTGGGATATTCACCATTAAATCGACCTTGGCAATTAACTTCCTTTCATTAGTATGGATGCTCTGGGTCCTTGTGCCTAGCAGAAAGCCAAACGTACTGGATGAGTGACTGCCACCAACTCAATAGTCTCTTTAAATTTCCAGTACCTCCTCTGCCCACCTCATGATTAATGCCTAGAACACAGTACAGTGCCTTAATATAAGACCGGGAGATATGGTATCTATTAGTATCATTGTAATGGTCAAAGCTTATCATAAATGTATCGTTATTACAGATGCTTCTCCACACTCCTGTCACTACCTCTAACAACTCAAGACAGTTCCAGAGCACCTGCATCTCATTTATTCTCCTCACTGGCCTGTTAACAAATCTTACACAGTCCTGGATTGGCAAACGCTGATAACCATATTCTCCACTTTACCCCCGCACACCAAATTGTCACACAAACCTACCCCATTTCCACACAAAAAAAGTCATAGACTCCACCAGTCCCAACACAGGTTCCGACTCTTGGTTCTTCCTCCCCGGACTCTTCCTTCTCATTCTATCCCTCAAGCACCTTTCAACTTCACCCCAACTCCACAGTCACCCACATTCTTAGCATCACTGATGATGAGCACACGTCCAAGCTCCCTCCCTTGAACACACCCTCCTGACTTCTCTCCTAGTCCTGCTCCTGGCTGTCCTCATCTTGATGATTTTTCTCAGTTTCTCCCTCACAATTGTATAATACAGTCCATCCTTTAAAAGTGCTAGTCCCAGGGGCTGGAGAGACGGCTTAGCAGTTAAGAACAGTGACTATTCTTGCAGAAGACCTGGGTTCAATTCCCAGTACCCACATGGCAGCTAACAACTGTCCGTAACTCCAGTTCCAGGGATCCGATGGCCTCTTCTGTCCTCCAAGGGCATTGCATGACACGGGTGCACTTACCTACATGCAGGCAATACAGCATACACATAAAATAAAGATAATAAAATACTTCTTAAAAAAGCGCTAGCCCCAAAACTGTATTCTCTCTGTACCTTTCTATTACTGTACAGAAAGCCTTTCCTGATGCCCCCCAGCCTCCAATCTCACTTTCACCTACTCACTCTTGCTTCTAAAGACTTAGAATCTTTGGTGACAGAAATAAATGAGTGCCTTCCAAAGGGAGCCAATGCAGCTTCTCCCCTGACTGTTTCAAAGTCCTTCTGTGTTCTATTATTTCACTGTTTCTTCCATGATTTCACTAGAGCAGAAATTGCCAGTTCTCAAGGCACCTTGTTCACAATCCCACCACTATCAGCTTCGTGATGGAATGTATTCTAACTTTCAGTCCTCAGCACTCAGCCATGTGCTGCTAATTCTTCTAGGCCTCAGTGAAATATGCCCATCCACCATCCCTTGAAAATGCCATGTACCCTAGCAGCCTCGACCATGCTCCGTCTGGCTGTTCCATTCTCGTCAAAAGTCTCCCTGTTCCTTTGGTCCCCAGTCTTCTCTCAGCAGCTCCCAGTCTAGTAAGCCTTTAGTTCTTAGATCTCATTACAGATCCAGAAAGAAATCTGTCACATAAGGACAGATTCATAAATTAATTATTTTAAAATGCTTCAAGGTAGTTTTTTTTTCATGCAACATAGAAGCATTCCTAGAACTTGGATCGTCCACATTATGGAGCATAAGCATGTTAATAAGAAAAGTGGCTTTCCTTTGGGCCTCTAACACATAAATAGCTATACATTTTCAGTGCTATTAAAATCACTACTTTGGGCATGACAATCTCTAAGTTCTCCTCTAATCACGTCCTGGTTATGTTTTGAAAATGAAGTCTGTATGCAGGTAGAACCGTTATCTCTCTCCCATGCCATTCCTTATTGATGAAAAGCGAATTAGCTTCTTGTGATTCTGTGCCACTCCACTCCATCATCCCCCCACCCCAATAATCTAACTACGGTCGCCTTTCAATTCCCACGGGGCTCTACATGTTACACGTTCTTACCTCGCCTAAACTACCACCGCTGCAGAACTCTGTAGCCTCATTGCTGGAATCTGAGCTGATTACTAGAACACATCCCAGACCTTGTACACTGTAAGCTTTCTGAGCTCGAACAGCCATCCACCGGGATTGTTTCAATTCCTGACAGAACTGCCTGTCTGTTGCTACCTCTGTGAGATGATCAATTGTAACAGCCATGGCTCATATTGACATTTATACCCTTCTGTCTGCTTCTAATTATTTTTCCTTTTGCTATAAAATATAATGCTAATTGGTAGCTGCCTCCAGGCTCAAAGTGTCAGAAAAATATCCAATCTATAAGTCCCCCCACCCAAGAAATCCCAGAAACCAACTTGTATCCCGTAAGTTTCTGTTGTCAATTGTCATGACTACATACATATTAAAATGATTACATTGTTTGATGAGATACGCATTGGAAATACAATTACTGATGGCTGCCCATAATGATCTGTTCTTAGCCATGTCTATTGCCTTTCTCCTGTAGGTCCCCCAGGCCCACCTGGGGTAGTCATTGTGGAGGAAATCACCGAAAGCACAGCCACTCTCTCGTGGAGTCCAGCAACCGACAATCACAGCCCAATTTCCTCTTACAACCTCCAGGCCCGCAGCCCCTTCTCCCTGGGCTGGCAGACTGTGAAGACAGGTAAGAGTCCTCCGACAACATCACACACACACAACCAGAGCACCTGCCGAGGGCACCAGATGTATTACTTACAAGCTCACTTACCGTCATTTATGGACACAAGAATATTCATGACAATAGTGACCTCCACGGAGGACTTTTTCTGCACCTTTTCCTCTTCTCTCAGTTTGTAAAGAGAGGCCGCACCATGTCTCTATTCCTATGTAGAAACACTTTTGGACTCACAAAGTTGTTGAAAACAATGGTATTATACAAAAAGCTCCCCAGCTTCCCTGAATTATCACATCTATTATAACCCCAGAACAGTTACCAAATCAGGGATGTGGCATTGGGCCATGCTCTCCCCTAAGCTCAGGCCTTATTGGGATTGGATATGTCACTGTCCTCATGCTTTGGCTCTACAGAAAATTTTTAAATTTATTTTTTTTATATGTATGAGGGTTTTCCATGCAAGTTCATCATATGCATGCAATGCCCACAGAGGTCAGAAGGGGGTGTCAGATCCCTGGAACTGGAGCTAAGGACAGTCCTAGTCACCGTGTGGTTCTGGGAACCTAACCCAGGCCCTCTACAAGAACAGCCAGTGCCTTAACTGCTGAGGCATTTCTCGAGTTCTAACTCTATGGTCTTCATTGCATTGTATTGTAGAGAGGTCAATAGCCACAAGGAGGATTGTGTAGAGAACCAGCCCACTGCCCAGCTGTTTCTGCTGCTTCTTATTTACAAAATGAAACTCTAACCTGAATTATGTCACTTACAAAAGTGTGTTGCTTTAATGTCTGCTTTTAAGATGTTTCCTGCTTTAACTTCATTATTTTTACAACTATATTCATTCCTAATAATTTTTGAATGTTATATAATGTTTTATTTGTTCTTTATGTGTCTTATTTATGTATTGCCTGCATGTAGGTATATGCACCCATGTCATGCAGTGACTGCAGAGGTCAGAAGAGGGCATTGGATCCCCTGGAACTGGAGTTACAGACAACTGTTAGCCACCATGTGGGTTCTGGGAATCGAACCCAGGTCCTCTGCAAGATTAGCCAGTGCTCTTAACCACTGAGCCATCTCTCCAGCCCCTCTTTTGAATGTTATAAATGTAACTTCCCCTTACCTCTCCAGATATGATGGGAAACATGGCAGGAGAGAGCCACACTTCCCTGGTGTTTACTGGATAGGTATTTAGCATCATGTTTGAAAACACTGTAAGACCAGAAACACTTAACCATGCTGACTAGGGACATGTGTTTCTGTTGTATTAAAATTAATTTCCCTGCCTCGAAGTAAAATATAAAAATCAATCCAGGCATACGGTGGTACAGTCCTGTAGTCTAAGCCCTAGGGAAGCAGGGGCAGGAGAGGTGTGTGTACATCTAGCCTGGGCCACAGAGGAAGCATAAGCCGAATGAGCTACCTATGATAACTCTGTCTCAGGCAAAAATGTGGAAATCATTAAGATGATGTTTGATTTCATTAACAATAAAATCAACCACAAATTAGGGTAGTGAAATGATCTGTTTTGTTCCAGCAAATGAAGTTTGGTATACTATACATATTTATAATACCAACACATGCACACACACACACACACACACACACACACACACACACACATACATATTTATAATACCAACACATGCACACACACACATTAGTATTGGCTCCATTGCAACATTGTGATATGGCTGCAGCCCCTAAAAATTGTAGGGACTCTCTGAATTGGTAGATATAGGAAGGACACAGTTCAAACTACATGAGCAGACTGGTTTAAGAATTCTCATCCTCTTTTCCCCAGTGCCCATCTTAATTCTAATGTGCCTGCTCAAAGCTGGTTTGTTGGTTTGTTGTTTGTTTTTGCAGGTAGAAATGGAATCAAACAGTTTAACACCTGGGGTTGTGTTCTCACACACCCATCCTCCTGTGGCCTCCCTCTGGGCACATAGACTGTTCAGTTTCTAGGATAGTTTTCCTTGTAGACACACAGCTGTACATTTCCTGACTCAGTCTATGCCTCACTAACCCTGTGTCTTATCGGCCATCTACTGTACCCACACATTCCTTCTTTGACTTGTGTGATCCCTGCCTACTTTTTCCCTTGATATATCTGTTTCTATTTTTTGTGTCTGTCTGTCTGTCTGTCTGTCTGGATGTATGTATGTGTGTATGTATGTGTGTATCTGTATGTGCATGCATATGTTCGGTCCTCTGCAGGTATTTCATGACACAGGTGCACTTACATATATGCAGGCAATACACGCATGCACATAAAATAAAAAATTAAAAATAAATTTAAAAAATCAAACCACCTATAACCATAGATGTAACTGATCTTTTTTTTACTTAACTCCAATCTATTTCTTAAATATTTGGTATTGTTTCTTTGTGTGTTTATGGTTATGCCTTTCATGGGTTGATTAGTTGATAAAATTTGATAAGCTTATTAAGTATTTTATTAAATTTTTGGATGTGATACTTTTACTAGGAAAGGCATTTCCATAAGATTCATCATTTAGTATGCATTCCTTGGCTGTCTTTGATCATTACTATAGTCTCTCTGAAGTATGTATTTTCTTGAAACCAACCTATTCTCATAGCTCCAGATACAGTATCTTTATAAAAAGATGCAAGAAAACCTGTTAAACATTCCTACTTGGTAAGAACCATCCATTATCCTTAATCTCCACAATATTATATTTCAAATAAAAATCCTGACTTGATGAAGACAAAAAAGATTTTTTTTGTGTTTGGTTATACTTTCCTTTTGGGTGTTTAAGGCCATACAATTGGCCCACAGAACATCCCAAACCATCTCATTCAACTATACACCCACTTCTCAGATGCCACCCTCCCATAGTCTCCCTCCCCCAACTAGAGCCCTTATACTCTGATATCCCTGCTACTGTCTGCTGTGTTGTCGGCATCTGAGCCATTCCCCACTACTTGTCCATCTAGTGAATCTAGTCAGCCTATCTAGAGGTCTTTGTTTTAGGAGGGTCAGCTGTTCCTCATCTAGCAGCAGCAATCAGTTGTCAATATACCTTTAGATAAGATTGAGGTCTGCTGTTCATTTTTCCAGTTTCATGCTGGGTTACTATCTGGGAGTCCCTTTGGCTACCCTGGCCAACAACTCAAAAGAAGGTATCTCCTATCTGGCATTGTTGCTTGTTATGGCCTTTAGCTATGCATATGGACTCTTAAGAAATTATATTGGCCCCTTTAATCTTTGGTTATACTTTCCTTTTGAGTGTTTAAGGCCATAGAGTTGGCCCAGATAAACCGATTTATTTTTACTCCTAAGGTCTTTTGAGGATCTGTTCCTCAGGGGGTCACATGGGTTTGGGAGGAGCCCCCTGGCTCCTTTCTTTTACCAGTTCTGCCCATGTAAAGATAAATTAAAGGTCCTGCTCGACCATGGTTGGCTTTGTTTGGAAGCATGGAGGAAGTGATTCCTCTTTGTTGACCCTCCTCTTTGTAGACTGGACACTGATTCAAGTCCCTCTGGTGGGGTCTCTTCGGCCTCCTTGATCAAGAGGACAGGTGACACGGCACAATTACAAGACATTTTGAGAGCTGTCTTAGTCCCCTGGAACTAGTCAACCTAGGAGGGCAAGGACAAAAACTGTCCTTTATGTCCCTCCGACCAAATTAGTATAGGCCTCAAAGTATGTCTGTTAAACATTCAAGAAGCTTAGTTCCACCAGTCTGGTACTTTTAATTACTGTGTGTCATACAGATAAATCTTGGGCAAAGACCAACTGTTCTCAGATAAACCTTATCTAGACATGTATTTCTTGATCTGCTATGTATAATTTGTCAGTAGGTTATAGGAGTAATATGGTTCCCTCTGGTTTTCAAAACTAGGCATTATTTATCTTTCGCATTGTCTCCCCCCTCCACCATGGTTTTCCCACTTAAGGTGCCCCCATTTCTCCCCCTTCTCCCTTAATAATAACCTTCTCCTACAGTCCTACCTCTCTTGAGGTCCTTCTTTCCCTTCATCCCTTAGGTTCCTTGTATACCCTTCCCTCCCCCCTCCCCTCAACTAACCCAATTTTTATCCACATCTCCCTTATTA